AGCAAGACCTCCAGTAGGACCAGTGTAGGGAGAAGGAGCACGCAGTGGGGAGGCCGGCTGTAACTGTGACGGGACAGGCTGTGGACACTCTAAGGGAGGAGAAGGACCAGTAGAAGGCGGGAGACCAAGAACCTGCTGAAGGAGCGGAACGAAGTACGGCCTAGGTCGCGCGGAGACTCCAGACACAGCACGGACAACACCAGTACCCCCAGCGGCAGCACCAGCGCCAGGAGCACCTCCAGCTCCAGTACCTCCAGCAGCACCAGCAGTACCCCCAGCAGGACCGCCTCCAGGACCAACAGCAGTAGCCTCAGCGCCAACACCCTCAGCAGCTCCAACTCCAGTCGCAACCGCAGGCCCAGCAACTCCAGTACTCCCAGGACGAGCACCTCCGGGACCCGCGGCACCAGCACCCTCAACAGTCGGAGAACCTTCAGCTCCAGCAGCACGCCTCCAGTGCCGGGTAAACCACTCACGCAGCTCCTGTGGGGAGAGGGGCTCCCGTCGAGACGAAGCACCCAGAGAACCTCCAGGCCCAGTACCGCCAGACGCCACACGAGTAGGCCCAACTCCCTCAGGCTCCGCACCTCCAGGCTCAGCACCTCCAGGCGTAGCACCCCCAGGCTCAGGACCCCCAGGCGTAGCACCCCCAGGCTCAGCACCCCCAATCGCAGCACCCCCGGGCTCAGCACCCCCAGGCTCAGCACCCCCAGTCGCAGCACCCCCAGGCTCAGCACCCCCAGTCGCAGTACCCCCGGGCTCAGCACCCCCAGGCTCAGCACCCCCAGTCGCAGCACCCCCAGGCTCAGCACCCCCAGTAGTAGCACCCGCAGGCTCAGCACCCTTAGGCGCAGCACCCACACGCTCAGCACCCCCAGAGTCAGCACCCCCAGGCTCAGCACCTTCAGCAGCACCAGAGTCACCAGTAACCTCGACAGGATTGACTGCGTCTACCTGGGACACACCTGAAGGGGCAGGACCCTTAGGGGGGAGGGGGTCTACCGGGGGGGGACCTGGTACAAGGAAGAGCGGCGACGGGGGGAGGGACGGAGTGCGGTAGGGGAAGAGGCGGTAGTAGGGGACCGACTCGTCAAACGTGACGTCCTGGGAGGACAGAACACGGCGAGAGGTGGGGTGGTAGAACTGCCACCCTGGCGCGTCAGGGGGGAAGCCAAGGAAGACGCAAGGAGCAGCACGAGGGGACAGCTTGTCCGCAGACAAGTCGCAAACAAACGCCCGAGATCCCCAGACACGGAATCAGACGCATCGCCAACCTTCCCTGTCCACAGCAAAGCTGGGGAGGTCTCCGTCATGGAGACCCTGGGGTGAAGGTTGATCTGATGCGCCGCGTACCGAACCGCAAACGGCCATAGAAAATGGGGGGCAGCCGCATGCATCATGGACGTACGAGCGACATCCATGACCATGCCAATGCGGCGCTCAGCAATCCCATTTTGCTGTGGGGAGTCCGGAAGCGTGAAGGTCTGGCGGATGCCCCGTGCACGACAGTAGGCTCGCAGAAGGCCAGAGGAGAACTCCCCGACTCGGTCAGAGTGCAGACGCAGAACAGGAAAGTCCGAGCCGAAGCTCTGCGTGAGCTGGAGACGAGCTGCGCGGATCCAGTCGATCAACACCGCAGTGACATCACCCTTGCTGCGCAAGGGGAAGACTGTGGTGTAACGCGAGTAGTCGTCAACCACCAGCAGGAAGTAGCGCTCGTGACCCTGTCCACGGACGCGAGCCGGGCCCACACGTCCATGTGAAGTGTCTGCAGCGGGGCCTCTGTCGGAGGAAACTGGGAGGAGTGAGGGGCAGCCCGCTGCCGCCCCTCGACACAGGGGACGCAGGTACGGCCCGGCCCACGAGGAAGGGGAGGGAGGGACCGGGGAAGACCAGAGACAAGGACACGGGAGGCCATGCCTTGGAGACAAAGCAGGGAGGGGTGACCAAGGCGGTGGTGCTAGAGGAGAGTCTCGTGAGACAGGAGGCGACACGAGCAGGGGGCAGACTCAGGACCAGACCTGGACGCTGCAGCAAACACCTGACCCGACGCAGCTACCTGACGAGACGCAGTGACTGGAGGCGACGCAGTGGTCAGTGTGTACAGGCTCGACCCCGGCCGACGTGTAAACGTGGCCAGGTGTCGGCCTGGCCGAGCGTCCGTGCAGTGGGTCACCCGCTGACGCGTAGGAGTGAATTGGTGAACCCCCGCATCCTATAGGTCAGCACCACTCACCAAGTTCGTAGAGAACGAGGGGAGGTAAAGACCAGACAGGGTGGCAGAGGGGGCCGCCGGACACGGGAGGACAGTGGAGTAGTGAGCAAGGACAGGACCCCAGGAGGGGTCTGCCAGAGAGACTGCAATTAACCGGCCAAGCGGCGTGAGTGTGGTGCGGTCTCGAAAGAAGGAGCGAGAAGCCCCCGAGTCAAGGGTGAAGGTGTGGGAGGCCGAAGCCGACGCAGTACCTGAGAGACCAGACTAACCAGCACCTGAGGGAGCAGACGCACGAGCACCTAGATCAGCAGCCTCGCTAGCACCTAGAGCACCAGCCTCACCAGTACCTAGAGCGGCAGTCTCAATGCCCGGGTCGGGCGGAAAACACCGGTAACAGTCACCCTCATCACTAATAGTCACAGCATACATGGCAGCAAGAATAGCATCAAAGTCAAGGTCAAAGACAGCTACTCCGGCCCTAGACAGCTCACCCCAGCGGAGAATCTCCGTGGCCTCCGGGAACTGGTGACGCCAAGCGTCCGTCAGGCGGCCAAAGCAGCGTTGGGTGGAGTGCGCACCCCCGCACTGCTCACCCGCGCGGTCGCCGGTGCGTAGGACGTAGGTGCACGGACCAGTACCCCCACCCCGCTGGCGTGCAGTGTACCACTCACGGAGCTGCTGAGGGGAGGGGATGTCACGAGTGCGCTGCTGCTGGCGCTGACCACCACCGGAGCCGACCCTCTGCGCAGCGCCACTCCGACCAGCTCCACCTCCTCCGCCACCGCCTCCTCCACCGCCGCCACCTCCGCCACCACCTCCGCTCCCACCGCCACCGCCGCCGCCTCCGCCTCCACTGCCACCACCGACACCTCCGCCCCCGCCACCACCCCCACCGCCACCCCCACTCCCTCCGCCGCCTCCACCGCCGCCTCCACCGCCCCCGCTAGCTCCTCCAGCGCCCCTGCCCCCCTTGCCCTTGCCAGGGCGGCGTCTCCTGCTAGCGGTAGACGCCGCACCGACCGACTCAAGCCCAACGAGGTCGGGCGCAGCAGTAGAGGCAACAGAGGGCAAAAGGGGGGAAGGGAACACCCCTCAAAGATGGGGGTTCGAGGGTCACCACGAGAGGCTCCTACAGCGACTATGCTCTTCTCCGCTGCTAGGAGGGCCTTCTCAAGGAGGTCAATGGTGAGGGTGGTGGGCCAAACTGAGAGGAAGTGGTCCCTGACTACGCGAAGGGAGTCAGGGAGGCGGGTGACTATATAGTAGAGAGTGATGTACATGGGGGGGGGGGGTTCTTGGCGCAGAACTCAGCAGGAAGCGCAGCGCGGTAGCGAGTGTCACTAGTGCGGAGGTGCGTAATGAGGTCAGCGACTGTGGGAAAGGCAGCAAGGTCAGGGAAGAGGTACAGTAGCGTGAGGCGGCTCAGTGCAGCAGTGGTAGGGGAGGAGTAGCGTGCAACTACAGCGTCGTACAAGGTCTGAGCACTCTTGTACTGGCTAAAGTGCGCACGCTCAGAGGTAGGCAGGTGGCGACGCACAGCAAGACATGCAGCAGCATCGCGCGTGGCCCACTGTGAGCGAACAGTGGCGTCAGCATCAGCAGCAGGGGCAGGAGAGGCACCAGAGGTGAGGTCAAAGAGAGAGAGACCGTCTGCCCTATCGCATTGTAGGAAAAGTTGCAGGTTATCTACCCAGACATCAAAGTCAATGGCCCGACCCTCAGCGTCAAAAGCGAGGACACTAGGGGTAGCCATGACAGCAGTAGACTAGTAGCTCAAACAGTGGGGTAAGGGCAGTGCAGTGACGGAGGCACTGCTCTTACCAGACAGGGCGGCTCGGGCGGCTCGGCGGCTCGGCAGCCTGGCAGGAACTGCAGCTCGGTGGTTCGGCAGGAACTGCAGCTCGGCGGCTCGACTACTCTGCGGCTCGGGCGGCTCGGGCGGCTCGAGCGGCTCGGGCGGCTCGGGCGGCTCAGGCGGCTCGGCGAGACGGCGGCTGGGGTGGCGCTGGCGGCTTGGCAGTGGCTCGGCGGAGCCGCGCGAAGGCGGGGTCGGGGCCGGGAAGGGCGTGCGACGGGGCCAGCCGGGGCTGGGCCGGGGCCAGGAAGGGGCGGCGCCGGGGCCGTAGGGTAGGCGACGGGGCCAGAAGAGACTGGGCCGGGCCAGGAAGGGCGGCGTCGGGGCCGAGAAAGGGCGGCGCCTGAGCTGGGAAGGGCAGCGACGGGGCCGCAGGTAGGCGACGGGGCCGCAGGTAGGCGACGGGGCCGCAGGTAGGCAACGGGGCCGCAAGTAGGCGGCGGGGCCGCAGGTAGGCGACGGGGCCAGCAAGGGCGGGGCCGGGTCGGGAAGGGCGGCGCGTGTGCCGCGGGGTAGGTGACGGGGCCGAAAGGGCGGCGAATCGGGGCCGTCAAGGGCGGCGCGACACAGCCGCTAGGGCGGCGCGACACAGTGAGAAAGGGGGAGCGCGACTCGGGCAAGGGCTGAGCGCGCTCCGGGCAGGAAAAAAATATCGAATCGATGGGCCCTAGGAACAGTTCCCACGAGGGAACCTGCTCTGATACCATGAGAAAACTGAAACGAGAATGAATGCACTATGAAAGAGTTGGGTACAAGTACTAACCCTAATTGGGTTGTACCCTATATGGGCTACCCCACTATAGCCTACACAAAAGCATAAGCTATAATGTTCTGACACTTTCGCCGGCAACGAGTTCGCAATCCTGAACCGATGCCACATGTCCCCACGAGTTCGTTGACTGCAGGTACATGTGGATTCGCGAAGCTCCGATGGACTTGAAGCCGTGGATCATAGGGTGCAGCCGTCTTTGCGAGGCGATTAAGAAGAACGACCTCACCTGTTTTGAGTCGGTGTTCGACGCCGACATTGCCGTGCTACCTATAATCACGACGTGAGAAAGTGCGATGTTGCGTTGTCGTTGACGTCATGTTGGACTTTGATGTTTTATATCGGCGTCACATGGTTCATGTGCAGGATCGGGTCGCTTCCCTGGGTCCACTGCAGCGTCGTCGTGGTTCTTTGGCCCGGCGACTTGCTGAAGGCCGTCGACGTCGACAGCGAGACCTCGTTCCGCCACCTGGACCCGAAGACTGCAAACCGGCTGCATTCGTCTGAGGCGCTCGCCGTGCTGAGGTAGGCATGCTTAAATTGGGAAGGCTCTTTACCAGGTTACTGGTTTCTCGACGGCGTCCCCACTGACTCTTTCGTGCACTGCTGTTGCAGCTTTTTCCGGCGCTGTGTTTTGGCCGAGCTTGGAAGAAGTGACAGGACATGGAAGTGGGCGCCTCCCGCTGAGGAGGTCGTGGTGGCTCGACTCGCCGGTTGCGACGGGCCCACGCGCGACGTGAGTTTCTGTCGACCTTGTAGCCGACTTTAATTGGTCGTCTAACTGTGCTTGCGTTGGTACACCCTCGGCTCACCTAGCCTGCCCTTGCAACGGTTGTACGCACAGATTGCCGGACATTGTGAAGAACAAGCAGGTCGGCACCGGATTGCATGCTGTGAGCGCGTTCGGATGGGTGGTCAGAGAGCGCGGAGCCCTGCTCAACTCACGTGCACCGGCGAGCGCTGAGAACCCGATGGTTCAGGGGTTGAGGGCACTCAAATCGCCGCTAGTGGAATACGTCAAGAGATGCGTTGCTGAGAGGCGGTCGGCGCCGTCCAATCACCCTACTGGGCCAAGTACCTCCCCCCTCGACGACGACGGAATCGAAGCTAAGACGGCGTCTCAAGCTGGCGTGGATCGCCCAGCGTATTCCGGCGCGCACGACACTAGAACTAGCAGTCATGTTGGCGGCGGTGGCGAGGCCGACCTGGTAGGAGGAGAGGAGCGGAGGGCAGGGTCCGTTGAGGAGTCATCTACTGACTCAGAGTCAGAGTTGGGATCCGAGGAGGAGGAGGATGAAGAGGAGGAGGATGAAGAGGAGGAGGAGGAGCATGCAGGGAAGAAGGCTGTTGGTGCTGAGGCGGACACAGACGCCGACCACGGTGCTGGTCGTGACCCGACGTTGACCGGCGGGACAGGCGCAACTGCAGCGTCGGCTGGGGACAAGCCTCGTAGGAAGGCGCCGGTGCATGGTCAGCCTGCGTCGACCACATCTTCAAAGTCGGCGTTTGCAGCCGCACTTGCTCACGTGAAGCGACTGGAAGAGGAGAACAGGAAACTGAGGGACGAGAATGCGGGGCTACGGTCGGATCTGGTTACCGAGAGGGGTCGGACGGAGGGGTTGTTGGCGACGGCGGCTGAGTGCCTCGCGGCTGTCAAGTCGCTTACCGAACGCGTCGCCGCCGCCGAGCAGACCGCGGGGACACACATCTCCACAGCCACAGCAGCCATGACCGGCGTCTTCACCAAGGTGCTGGACGATCGGGTTACTCTGGTCAAGGCGTGCAGCAACATGGCGACGCCGTTGTTGGGGGAAATCACAAAGGGCTTGGACAAGCTGGCTGTCGCCCGCCGTGATGCCGACGTGCGGTTGGGGAACCACGTGACCAGCGCGGAGGATAACGTTAAGGCGGTGTTGGCCGATTACATCCAGACCAAGTTAGCCTCAACTTCCACCAACATCGTCGGCGGCTTATCCCGCAGCATCGTGCCGCCCCCGCCCGGTCCATCCCCCGCGCTGCCTGAAGAAGTCATCAAAGCAATGAGGGATGACATTGTTCAGGCGGTAACCGCCGTCACGCAGCAGGCGCTGTGAACCGTCGGCTTCATGCTTCTGCCCAACGTGCTTGCTACAATGAGGCTGGGGCGACGTGGTTCGTCCCCGTCGACCGACGACCTGGAGACCGCGCAAAGGCATAGGTCGGAAAAATGGGTTGGCAGCGGAAGTGCAGCCGACGGCGACAACGCGGGAAATTCGAAGCGGAGTAAAGGTGTTGGTGGGGAGCGAGCAGTCGGCGGCGACATTCCGGATCGTGCCCAGTCCGGTTCTCCCGTCCTCGACATGCTGAGGAGAAAAGGGGCGACAACTCGGCTCCTTGGCCCGCAAAGTAGAGGCGGAGCTGGCGGCAGCTCGGAGGGCAGGACTGCCGCCGAGGAGGGTGTGCGAGCCGGCGGGTCTTCCACTCACGGCGGTGGAAGGAAAGGTCCGGAGATTCCACGTCCTGGAGCAAGCGAGGTAGCACCACCGCCATTCGATCGTGGTAACGTCGTCGTTGAATCGGTTGAAGTGCAGGCCGGCGCGGCGATAGGTGTTGATCGCGGGCCGCCATTCGATGTTGAGGCTCCGTCAATCGGCGATCAGACTCACCAGGATCCTGTGGTTGGCATGGGGGGGGACACGGGCGCCCTCGGCGTGGAGGACACGGGCGACCTCGGCGTGGAGGATGATCCCGTGGCGAGAGCGTTGATGGAGGAGCTTCTTGCTTTTCAGGCGCCATCGCAGCAGCAGCCCGTCTCCATCGACAACGCCGCTGTCCCAACAACTCGCGGGGGGGCGCAACCTGTCGCCAGTACAGCACCAACAACCCCGGTCTCGGCCGATGTCAACGCGCGTCACACGGCAGCACCATCTGCTGATCCGCCGACAACTGGGCCCGTCGCAGCGCCAACTACGGGGCAAGACAACGCCGGTCAGACCCTCACGGACCCGGTCGCGGCCATGCTTCTGGCCGCGGTCAACTCGTTTCAAGCGGCGGCACCTTCATCGCATCCGCCAACTACTGTCACCAGCACTGCACCTGCGGAGATAACTGCAGCAACGGGAGCTAGGCTACGGGCTAGGCACGTGTGCTCGTGTGATCTCTGCGTTCTCTGTTCCTTAGTCGTTTTCCTTGTGCACACACTACTTGCTAGTTTACGGGGAAAATTGGCAAGAGTTTCACTAGGAAAAGTTCAGAACAATGGTACAATGAAGTTGGCAATGCAAGACTACATCAGAGCAAGTATTCAGGTCGGCCAACTGCCAGCGCAGCTTGGTCGACCGCGTTCCAGCAAGGCAAGGTCGACGGCGTGCCAGCGTTGCTCACGCAGGACAGCAGTGCACCCGCTTCACATGTGTGCGTAGCCGATCGGCGTGCAGAGTCCCGTCACCTGCACAGCGCACACTCCACGTCAACCTCGAGCCGACGACTGCCTCTGATCCGCCACGACGACCTCGGGATACCACCACCGAGGTCGTGCTCGCCAACTTCGCCTGAGCGACCGTCGCACTACTTCGCAGCACTTCGTCACCTAGGTAATATGGTCGACCAGGCAACCACGTCGACCAGCAGCTCCCGTACGTGCCCGTCGACCTCCTAAGTAGACGACACCATCGGTCGACCTCCTCCAGGTCGACATCCCATGTGGTCGACCAGCTCCACGTCGACCAGCACAGTCGTCGGCCAACCACCCACGTCGGCCACCCGAAGGTGTCGTCACGAAGTTGACGCCCCGCTACTCGACGCCCGACTGCTCGACGTCCTGTGTCAAGGTCGACGTCGGTTCCTCCTTCGTCGACCACCAGGTCCAGTCGACCACCCGCAGGTAGATCAGCGGTCCGTTAGCCGACCGCCAAAGTCGGCTTCAACGTCCTCCACAGGTCGACTCCCAAGTCGACCTCCCTGAAGTCTGAGCCCGTGCAGTGGTCCCCCGTGCAGGTCGACCTCCTCATCGACCAGCTCGCCCACTGCAGAAGGTCGGCTGCTCCCCTCACATCCGACCACGAAGTCGGCTCCGCCCAAGCGAGGACGGGGCCAATACACAACTCCCGTTGACACTCCCCTGCCGCGTTCACGCTTGGGCCCCCAAGTCCTACTCGGCAGTACTCCTCAGAGAATAGCTCGTCGATGTGCACCCAACACACAGCACGTCGTCCACCGCACCAGCCATGCAAAAGGGCATGGCACCTACTACTGCACGTCGTTGTCGCCGTCGCCCACGTCGGCCAAGCGCACTTGGCCGATTGCGACGGAGCACCGGTTGAAGGCCGGATAGTGCAGCGCCTTCGTCAGGAAGTCGGCCGGCTGCTCAGCGGTTGGGATGTACTGCAGCGAGAACTTCCCGCGCCTCACCATGTGCTGCAGCCAGGCCTGTCGCCGCTCCATGTGCTTGAGGTTGCCCATCAACCCCATGCCCTCGGCAACCGTGATGGCCGACTTGTTGTCCACACGCAGGACAGTCGGCTTCCCGGCGTCCAGTTGCCGGAACTCGGCGAGGAGGAAGCGAAGGCGGCGTCCCTCCTTGCCAGCTTCAGTGGCCGCCACGTACTCCGACTCGGTCGACGACAGCGTCGCGCACTTGATGCGCTGGCTCGACCAGGAGACTGCAGCCCCTCCGTAGACGAACACGTAGCCGCTCGTGCTCATCCTGTTCTGCTTGTCACCGGCGTCGTCGGCGTCCACGTAGCCGACCAGCTCCAGCGACTGAGGTCCACCGCCGAACTCCAGGGCGGTGTCGCGTGTGTTGGCGAGGTAGGCGAGGCAGCGATCGACCTCGTGCCAGTGCTGGTCGCTCCTCACCGTGAGGCCGCTCCCCAGCTTGCTGCATGCGAAGGCGACGTCCGGCCTCGTCGTCGTCGCCGCGAACTGCAGCGAGCCGACCTTCTGCCGGTACTCCTCCTCCTGACGTTCCTGCGCCTCCTCGTCATCGAAGGTGAGCTCGGCGTAGGCACCGACCGAGACCGGCGTCTTCGGGGTGCGCCCGGTCTGTTCCCCGTCGAGGAAGCGCCAACGCAGCTTGTCGGCGTAGCCCTGCTGGTGCAGCCACAGCTTCCCCGCCGACCTATCGCGTACGATCTCGAGCCCGAGGTACTTCTGCACCGGCGAGATCTCGCGCAGCTCGAAGGCGGCTTCCAGCAGCTCCCTCAGCTCCTTCAGCATCATGGCGCTGCTGCTGGCGGCAAGCAGGTCGTCGACGTAGACCAGCACCCAGCAGACTACCTCACCCTCGCCGATTTTGAAGTAAAGAGCCTCGTCGACCTGGCTCTTCTTCCACCCGGCGCCGACCAGCACATCGTTGAGCGCCAAGTACCACAACAGCGGCGACTGCTTCAGCCCGTACAGGCTCTTCAGTAGCTTACACACCCGGCCGGTTCCGTCGTTGAAGTAGTCCGGCTGAGACATGTACAGTACCCGATCGAGCTTGCTCTGCAGGAAGGCATTCTTCATGTCGAGCTGCATCAGGTTGAGGTCGAGGACAGCGACAATGCTGAGGAAAATCCTCAGCGTCACGTAGCTGCTCACCGGCGCGAACGTCTCGTCGTAGTCGGCGCCATACACCTGTGTGAAGCCCTTTACGACCAGCCTCGCCTTCTCTCGTTCGACGGTGTCGTCAATGTGGTACTTCGTCGTCAACACCCACCGGTTCTTCATGACGTTTACCCCCGGTGGGCGTTCGACCAGCTCCCAAGTGCCCATGTTGATGAGGCTGTGGATCTCCTCCTCCATGGCGGCCTTCACCGCCGGGCCCTTCCAGCTTGCCAACGCCTCCTTCACCGTCATCGTCGAGATGTCCCAACGGTGCTCGGGGTCGGCTAGCATGTCGGGGTCGAGCTCCGGAAACTCCTCATCCTCCTCGGCGTCGTCGTACAGCAGGTCGTCGTCATCGTCCACGTCATACACCGTGGTGAAGGCAGCGGGGACGAAGAAGTCAGGCGGCCTCCGAAGTCGGCCGGAACGCCGTGGTCCCTGCTGGACCGCCGCGGTGTCCCCTCCATCGTCACTGTCGTCGCTGCCCTCGGCGTCCTGCTGCTCCTCAGCCGGCGTCCCAGCCGACTGCTCCACTGTGGTCGGCTTCCCAGCCGACTTCTCCCCTGTGGTCGGCTCCCCTGCCGACGTCCCGGTCGCCGACTCCTCCGTGGTCGGCTTCACGGCAGCCTGCTCCCTTGTCGGCTGCTGCTCCCCGACCTGCTCCTCCCCTGTCGACTCCAATCCCACGTCGATGCGCCGTTCGTCAAGTCGGTCGCCGGCGATGCCCTTGGCCGGCGCCGAAGGCGGCGTCCCACTACTCCCCTCATCGCCGGAGGCCGACACCGAGGTCAGCCCACGCAGGTCGGCCACGAGGGGAGGGGCAGGGGTCAGAGGGTGAGGCGTAGGGGTATGGACGTTCTCGACGTCCTCAACAGTAAGCTTACCGACCTCGGCAAGCAGCGGCAGCGTCGCCGACGAGGTGTCAGAGGGCGGCAAGCGGCCGGACACCGGCCCATGCTCCGTCTTCCACTCGGCCAGCGACAGCTCCTCGTAGAACACCACGTCCGACGTGGTGACCATCCGGTCAGAGGTGACGTCAAGGAGCTCCCAGCCCTTGCTCGCCTCTGACACACCAAGGTGTAGGCCCCACTTGGCCTTCGGCTGCAGCTTCCCACCACGCTGTTGCTCAGGGACAAGGAACTGCGCCATGCAGCCCCATACTCGTGCCAGCGACAAGTCGGGCTTCTTCCCGGTCAGCAGCTGGTATGGTGTCGTCCCCGGTGGCAGCGTCGACCTCTCAAGACAGTTGCGGACCCAGACGGCCTGTCGCAGAGCGAGGTGCCACCAGTGGTGCTGCACACCCATGTGCAGCAGCATTGTTCGCACAGACTCCACCACCGTCCTCATCTCCCGCTCCGCCATGCCGTTCTGCTGCGGGGTGTATGGGCAGGTTAGGTCGTGGACGATCCCCTTGCCGTTCACGAAGTCGGTGAATTGCTTCCCGAGGAACTCCCCTCCCCGGTCAGAGCGCAGCATCAACACCGACTTCTTCGTCTGCCGCTCAGCCACCGCCAGCCACTGTACAAACGCCTGCAACGCATCTGACTTCTTGGCGACCGGCTTCACCCACACGTAGCGGGTCTTGCGGTCCTTCATCAGCAAGAAGTACAGGCTGCCGTCCTTGGCAGCCACGCGAAACGGCCCGCACAGATCGATGTGCACGACAGTGAGCACGTCGTCGGCGTCGGAGCCATGGTCGGGGAAGGTGTGTCGCGCCAGTTTCCCGCCGACGCACGAGACACACGGAGAGTCGGCGTCCGTCGCCGTCTTGAGGTCCAGCCCAATGGCGACCTCGTTCTTCGCCGAGCTCCGTATGGTGTCCATGCCGACGTGCGCAAGCCTCGCATGCATCCGGTCCGGCGTCGACTTCGTCTTCGAGACGATCGTCCGCAGAGCCACCACCTCCGTCGTGGGCGGAGTCGACCTCGTCGCGCAGGGACGCAGGTCGGTGCAGAGGACTCGTCCAGAGTACGTCGCCCGCCCGAGCACCTCCCCTGCTGCCGAGACGAGCAGCATGCCGTCTCCGTCCTCCTGCAGCTTCACGCCATGCTCCTTCAGCTGACCGGCCGACAGCAGGTTGGCTCGCACACCCGGGACGTACAACACGTCGGGGATGAGCACCTCCTTCCCGGCCTCTCCTTGCAGGGCGATGGTGCCGCAGCCCTGGACATCCTGCAGCGCCCCATTGAAGCCGCGCACATGCCGGATGACGCCGCTCGGCTGCAAGTCGACGAAGGCTTCCTTCGTCCCCATCAGGTGGTGGGAGCAACCGCTGTCGAGCAGGACCACCGCCGGGTTCGCCTGCACAGCCGCCGCCACCGCCTGAAAGTCCTCTCCGGCCTCTGGCGCCAGAGAGATGGTCGGCTCCACGACGCCGACCAGCGAGCACGACGCTGTCTTGACGTCTCGCCCCTTGCCGCCTGCAGCGGAGTCGGCGTCCTTCGCCGAAGTCGATGTCTTGGTCGACTGCTTCTCCTTGCGCGGTTGGTTGCCTCCACGACGAGGACGACGGCTGCCAGACCTCCCACGGCCTCCCTTAGCATCGTCGTCGTCGGAGTCGCTGCGGTTGGGACACTCGAAGGAGAGATGATCGGGATCGCCGCACAGCCAGCACTCCCGACGTCGACCTCCTCCTCCACGACCGCTGTCCTTGGTCAACTTCCTCTTGTCGACCTCCTTGGCCGGCTTCCAGCCACAGCTACCCCCACCGCCGCCGAACTGTCCGCGCTGTCCCGGTCGGCCTCCTTGCTTCGCTGAGGTGACCAAGTTCGCCTGCGCCAAGAGCTCCTGCGACCGCTCAGCCTCCTGCATCGCCTCGTCCTGCAGGATATACGAGGTCAGGTTGTCCTCGTTGAGCGTCGCCCTCGTGCTCGGCGCCATGGACAGCCGTTTCAGCAGGTTGTAGCTGCTAGAGAGACCCTGCATGACATGGGTGATATACGACGCCGTGGAGTACTGCGCTCAGGCCATCCTAATGGTGGCGAGAATTCGCCTGGCTCGGTTGCAATAGTCGGTCGCACTCTCCTCGTCACCCATACGCAGGTGCGTCAGTTGTCCCTCCAGCTGGGCGATGAACAGGTCGTCGGTGACCTGGTACGTCGACTCAATGAAGTGCCACGCCCGGTGGCCAGCGTCGATGTATTCCCGGCACCACTTCAACGCGATCTGCACGCCCGGCGAGCAGCACCGCGAGATGACCGTGAAGGTCAACAGCTGCACGGCGCGAAACTCCACACGCAGGTCGGGGTGGTGCTCCCCCGGCGTCGCCACGGTCCCTCGGGCGAAGCCGATCAGCCCGGCCATCTCCAGCTGGGGCTCGATGGCTTCCTTCCAGGTGAGAATGTCGGGTCGACCGACCAGCGGAGGGGTGACCGAGATCCTGTCCGGCGTAAACTTGAAGTAGCCGTAGCTCGGCGCAATTCCGCCCGCCGTCACCTGGGTCGCCGACATCGGTGACAGTCCACTTCGACGCCCACCAGCGTCGCCATGCAAGGAGCCTGCAGCCGCCGAAGATTGCATCCCTCGCGTCTGAACGCCGCCGACTTCACCGGCGTGTATCACACCTCTTTGCCTCGACGTGCCTCCAGCACTGCTGCCGACTTGACCGCCACCGGCGTTGACGCCCACGTCGACGCCGCCTTCGTTGTTCACAGGACGAGGAGAGGCGGGTCGAGACGGGTGCTCCGTCGCCCACGTTGAGCGGAGTCCAGCCTCGACGACCGCCCAAGGCAAGTCGCCATACTCGTTGGCCTCATGCTTCCTCCTCGCGTTCTCCAACCGTGCCTCCAGGGTGTCCACCACCCCCGCGTCAACTACGGCTCCTACCATAGTGACTACTGCACAGTTGCCGGCCTGTAACTACGCAATAGGTAAGTGGTATCTACGTCGACCTGACTGAAAGGTAAGTCGTGTGCCGTCCACGCTCACCGCACCATGCGGAGATAACTGCAGCAACGGGAGCTAGGCTACGGGCTAGGCACGTGTGCTCGTGTGATCTCTGCGTTCTCTGTTCCTTAGTCGTTTTCCTTGTGCACACACTACTTGCTAGTTTACGGGGAAAATTGGCAAGAGTTTCACTAGGAAAAGTTCAGAACAATGGTACAATGAAGTTGGCAATGCAAGACTACATCAGAGCAAGTATTCAGGTCGGCCAACTGCCAGCGCAGCTTGGTCGACCGCGTTCCAGCAAGGCAAGGTCGACGGCGTGCCAGCGTTGCTCACGCAGGACAGCAGTGCACCCGCTTCACATGTGTGCGTAGCCGATCGGCGTGCAGAGTCCCGTCACCTGCACAGCGCACACTCCACGTCAACCTCGAGCCGACGACTGCCTCTGATCCGCCACGACGACCTCGGGATACCACCACCGAGGTCGTGCTCGCCAACTTCGCCTGAGCGACCGTCGCACTACTTCGCAGCACTTCGTCACCTAGGTAATATGGTCGACCAGGCAACCACGTCGACCAGCAGCTCCCGTACGTGCCCGTCGACCTCCTAAGTAGACGACACCATCGGTCGACCTCCTCCAGGTCGACATCCCATGTGGTCGACCAGCTCCACGTCGACCAGCACAGTCGTCGGCCAACCACCCACGTCGGCCACCCGAAGGTGTCGTCACGAAGTTGACGCCCCGCTACTCGACGCCCGACTGCTCGACGTCCTGTGTCAAGGTCGACGTCGGTTCCTCCTTCGTCGACCACCAGGTCCAGTCGACCACCCGCAGGTAGATCAGCGGTCCGTTAGCCGACCGCCAAAGTCGGCTTCAACGTCCTCCACAGGTCGACTCCCAAGTCGACCTCCCTGAAGTCTGAGCCCGTGCAGTGGTCCCCCGTGCAGGTCGACCTCCTCATCGACCAGCTCGCCCACTGCAGAAGGTCGGCTGCTCCCCTCACATCCGACCACGAAGTCGGCTCCGCCCAAGCGAGGACGGGGCCAATACACAACTCCCGTTGACAGCACCGACCATGCAGCTCCCTGCCGCTGTTGCCACGCCGTCGGACCCAGTCTCGGACATGCTAATGGCCGAGGTCAACGCGCTTTCAGCAGGTGCACAATCCGCTCAACCGCAGACTCACGGCACGCGCACTGCGCCGACCACGGTGAACTTGGCGGAGCCCGTACACCAAGAAGCAGCAAACGAGACGGTTCCAACGGCGGTGCCAACGCATCACCAGGTCGGCGCGGCGTCTGGACAAGGTGATTGGGGCGCGGTGGCAGGAGACGATGGTGCAGGGGAGATCCCTCTCATCATCGAGGACGAGGATGTGGAACTGATACAAGCGGCGATAGAAGCAGACGAAGTTGCCGCACTTCAGTCTGTGGGAGGTACGTCGGGCATCAGTGGCGTGGAGGGTCGGCCTGCCGGTGTTACAGCGTCCACCCAGGCCGGGCAGACCGTGCAGCCGGCCCGTTTGGCGTCCACCGGCGTCAGTGTAGCCGGCCAGGCTGTTCCGCCCATTCAGAGTCATCCTGCCGGCTTCATACAGGTGGATAGGGCCTTCCAGACCGGCCCGACCGGCGTCACTGGTTCTGACCAGGCTGGTCTGGCGGGAGAGTCCACTCGGCCCACCGCTGTTACAGTGGCTACTCATGCCGGCCAGGCCGGGCCTTCGGACAGGTCGGCGGGCGTCACTGTTGCGGACCTGGCGGGTCAGGCGGGGACGTCCACAGTTCTGGCCGGTGGACCAGTGGGTGAACACGCCGACAAGGATGGACAGATCGATCGTGCGGCTGGAGTCGGCGAAAAAAAGAAGAAACGGAAGGGTAAAGCCGCCGCCTCGCAGAAGCCCGTCGTTCCGAAAGATCGCAGGGGGCATGGTATTAGGTTGGACAGGACGAGCGGTGGCGGGTGGCAGGGCGAGGTAAACCTGGCTAGAAAGAGTCGCTACACGGGGAGATCGGACGACAGGATGGAAGTGGCGTACCTGAACGGCGTTGCGACGACCATCTTCGACGGACACGCCAGCCAAGTCCTGTTGGCCGAAATGACCGGCGTTAAAGCCGAAGAAATGACGCGGTGGAAGGCGGAGTGGGAGGAGGCGAAGGTGATGCCGAAGGGTATGTGGACGGTGATGTGGTCCCGCGGCGCCACCATGTTTCGTGCACGGTAAGAATCGTGGGACTCGATGTGTTTTGAGCGGCGTGATATAGGTTTGACTGTGGGGTTTTACGCCGACTGACCACGTTCACGTTCCAACGTTGTGCGTGACAGGTTCCAGAAAGTCCTCGCCGACTTCAAACAGAAGAAGTCATCAGGGCCCCCGCTGATGAAAGTGCTGAGGCCGGCGGTGTGGTTTGGCACTGGTTGGGAGCCGGCCAAGCGCAAGCAGCAGCTCAGCGACATCATCAACCGCGCTTGCTTGTGTGCGGCGTTTGGGCCAGTCGCGGCAGATGCCGTCCCCAAAACTGGCGCAGACGCCAAGCGCATAGGCCAAGCTGTCGCTGCTTCATCTTGCGCCATCTGGTGCTTCGCCGAGACCGTGGCCGAGGTCGGCAATGCGGCGGGTGAAGCGAAGGCGGTGGCACTGCTGTGTGAAGCGAGCACCGATTTTGCTGACACTTGTCACGACATCGTGGTTGCGGTGCTAGAATCGGCGGTTGCGAGACAACCCGTCCTGGGAGAGGTCTCGTGCAACGTCACCGACGCACTGCAGAAGGATGCTCTTCGGAAGGCGTGCAAGGGCTGTGACCCCACACCCGACGCCGAGATTATCGCGAGGGCGACTATCGAGACCCTCGCTTTCTGGGGGTCGTGCAACGCCGGCGGCCCCCTTCTCTGAGCACGCGGCATTCAAGTGCCGCTGGACAAGCAGATGGAGAAGGATATGGATAACAGGGGAAAGAAGGGACAGAAGGGGAAGCACGCCGCGTAGATGGGTTTTGTTGTTGTGTCTGTCGTTGTGTTCTGGACCGACGTCGCAATGTGTAGCAAGATTGTTGATTGATTGTGGGGTTTTGGTGGGCGCCGACTTTTATTGTGCACTTTTGCTGTGTTCATGAAACGCCCTCATGTTTTTGGTTCTTTGGCAAATTTTCAACTGTTGGGAACATTGAATCCATAGTCAAAGTCGGAAACAAAAGTCACAATCAAGCTAAAAGAAAGTAGCTAAGCGGCGACAAAACATCAGCCCGGCTTCCGACGCTTGGACGTCTTCGTCGGCAGTGGCGGCGGTCTTCCAGCGGCCTGCTCCGCGGCCGCTTGGGCCGCCACAGCTTTGTGCTCTTCCCACGTGGTCGAGAACATGTCCTCGCCCCACTTGTGCGTCATGTATCCCGCCGCCACCTGTCCCCAAGCAACCGTCAGCTTAGGCTTTTCACCCTTAGAAAGCCCCTTGATGCCCAGGTTCCCCTCCGTGCGTATCGGAAGCGCGTCGGCGTCGATGATCTTCAGAGCATCGCAGAAGGTCAGAAGCGCCAGGCCTCTGCCACAGTCTCGGCCTTTCTCCATGGGTCAAAAACCAGGGCCTCGTAGTGAGCGTCGGCGTCCAACTGAGCATGCTTAGCGGCCGCAGCTGCCTCCTCTTCCAGGGTCATTGGCCTAGAAGGCGCCTGTGGCGCTGGCGCCCTACGTGCCTCGGAGATCTTGAGCTCCTCCATGAGCCGGGAGATCTCGGCGTCCCTCGCCGCGATAGCAGCACGCGCCTCCTCGAGCTCCTTCTCCACCTTCATCTGCTTGAGCGTCGCTTTGTGCCTCTCGTGGGCCAGTGTCTCGTTCAGAAGGTCGACCTGAAATTCGGCGTCCAAGCGGGCTGAGATTTCCTGCGAACAGCAGCGGAGCGGGTTAGGAGTCAGGTGATGCAAGCACGCTTGCCGCTAAGTCACGCGGAGTTCATCTTGTGCTTACAGCTGGCTGGGTCGGGATCGGCGACCGGCGCTTGGCGATCGTCTCGGTGTCAATCTTCTCAATGTCCTTCGCCCACGCCTGAAAGTCGCGATCCCGACAAAGCCTCGAAGCCTGGACCTGAGGGTGCCATGGAGTGCGGATGAGTTTCACCGCGAGGTCCTCGGCCGCAATGCGGCGTGCATCCAGCATGGTCTGGATGAAGTGCACCGCAGCCGTGTTCGCCTCAGGCCCTTGTGCGAGCTCTTCCGCCTGCATGAAATAGAGGAATGTCGGTGTGAACCAGTGAAGAGAGACGACAAGATGCATGTGGACGGCGTCGCTACACTCCCCGCCCCCAACTGTTTCTCGACGCCGGGAAATATGTGCGCGGCGATGGTTTTTTCGAGGTCTGCGCTGGGAGGTAGCCTGCTGCGGCCCAGGAAGTAGTCGCTTCGGGCTCCGGAGTAGCCGGCCTTCCTCATCACCACCCCGACTGGAATTGAAGTGATGTAACTCCTCGTCATCTCGTCAATAGCCCAGTGACCCAATTCGGCTATCTCGGCGCGCGGCGTGCCTTGGTCAGCCAGCTCTTGTGCCCCGCCGGCGCGAGCGGCGTGCACGTTGCGCTTGATGAAAACCTTGTTGGCCGTCCACAGCTGCCGAGTGATTCGTTGCTGGCTCGACGACGGCAGCAAACCCTGATCCTTATCGTAGCGGGCGAAGAAGAGATGCTTGTCGTACCAGAGCTCCGGTCGGCGTACGTCCAGCGGCGGAATTATGGGGACGCCGAAGATCTGGGGGACATGGTCGTAGATGAAGTGCAGCCAGAGGATTGTATCGCCCAAAACACACAGTTCCGCCTCTAAGTGCCTTGCCGCGTAGCTGTGATGAAGACAGGCGTCCTTGCACGTCTTCGAGTTGCGCTGCGCGATGACCATGACCATTGGCCGGTTGTCAGGGTTCACTGACGACCCGCTAGCAAGGCGGTACAGAAAGATGTCGGCGAGCGTGATCTCGCGTACGCTGGCACCGCGGAGCAGAGTGTGGTGCGATAGCAGGGTCATCGTTCTCATACGCATGAACTTCCACAGAGTCTGGGAAGGACCTGTTCCCCCCGGATTCCACGCCGTCGCCGACCAGTGCGGCAACACCTTGAACATGATTTTGCGGAACTGCTCGGTGGTGTAAGTGTCGCCGATGGTTCCGCGATGTCGGTCGACATATTTTCTGCACAAGAGGAGAGTGCGAGGTTGATGATTGAGTGTGACCAGCGTCGGTGAGCATTGGCGGGAATACTAGAGAGGACTGGCAAAGTCGGCGATGTTAAAACATCTTACTTGGTGTCGGCTTTGTTCTTTCCGCGAACCATGACGCGCACTTCCGTGCGGACGACCAAGATGTCCTGCATGATGTGCAGCTCCTTCTCCTTGTACAGGGTCGCCTCTATCTTGGCCGCCATCTGAAGGGCCTTAATGCGGCCGAGTAGCATGTTGACCGTGCAAGGCTTGATCGGCTGCGTGCGCATGGCGGTGTTGCCCTCTTCGCTCCTCATTGCCTCGATGAGGGTCTCTCGCGATCTGAACAAGACGTAAGAGCGAATTCGAGGCTCGTTGGTCCTCGGGCCGTGCAACCAGATGAACTGGCGCGGGGCGGTATGCCAACGTTCGCCCAAATCATCGCCGATGTGCTTGCCGATTTTGTCCTTGTCAGTGAGTATGGACCCCGGCTCCAGGTCGTCACCTTCTGACGGAAGAGCATCCACCGCCCACCGCTTGTAGTCTAGTATCCACGATATGTACTGCCGCAGCGACGATCCTTCCTCGAGTGTCTCCGTGTGGCGAGGGGCATTGGCTATCAGCACTTCGATGTCGCTATTCTTCAGATCCTCGACCACAAACTCAGCCGCCGTAAACTCTCCTCGCGGGACGCTCGCGTGCAGCCTATCCTCGAGTTCGTCCTCGGCCAACGCCTCCTCTATCTCTCTTCGATCCCTCTCGGCTCGAGTGAGCGGCCGACGTTGGCGTCTAGGTCCCGGGCCGGGCTGGGGTTCCTCCTCCTCATCGCTAGACGAAGAGTCCTCCTCCGGCTCGCTAGGACGTCGCTTTTGGGGGTCGCCTACAGGTGGCGGCGTAATGTCAGGGTCGACGGGAATTTTAGCCAATGCATCTAGATCGTAAATCAGACGCAGCGTCACTGCCGGAATAGTGGTGGGGCGGACGCCGGCCGGCGTTGTGGCGTCACCGGTCAGGTTCACCCGCGCCTGGGCTGCCAGCAGAACGTAGTCCGACATGTTGGCCTCGGCCGTATGTCCTAACAGCGCTTGTTTTCTACTGAGGGCCAGCCGGCGAGTTGGTCGGCGGGTCGGTCATAAAATGGCGGTATTGGGTAACGGCGGCGGCGTACTGTTGCTGCGTTGTGTTCGCTTCTAGTGACCTAGTGACCCTAGTGTCTATCTCTAAGCGGGCGGCAAGAGAAGCTTGCGCCAACTGCGCGGCGATGTCCCCCTCAGGTGGGTTTGTTTCCGGCGGCGTTGCACCAAGCCAGTCGCTGACCACGCACAGCGCAACCCTAAACTAGTCTCGGCCTTTCTCCACGGATCTGGCCGATTGTGCCTCCCGTTTAAAACGGGCGATGAAACTGTGAAATCGGCTGCTACGACCAACAAAACCCAGTGCCCCGATAATCGGTCTTACTTGTTGGTCGGCGTCAGACGCCGAAGCCGCGGTGTTCTCCGCAGAGCGTGTCCTGGTGGAAAAAAACTAAGTGTGAGAGCGCAGGCGTAAGAAGTGACGAAAGGAAGTGGGAGTAGGAAAAATGGCTAGTGGCAGCTTGGCTCCGGAGAGTTCATGGACGTGCGCGGCTCGGCACATGCCACCGTGCAGGCAAGGTTCTGTACACTTGGCATTCATGCCGCTGTCCACGCGAGGCGGCGTATTCTCCGACGTGACACGGCTCTCGCATGGCCACTACAACGCCGCCGTGACTGTCCATGAAGGTGTTTCGTAAGGCATGCCACGGCAGCAATACAAGGCGCGCTGAGGCTTGTGGCATTGGTCCAGAGTCCATTCATGGCGCACTCGTGCCACCGGTGATTGGCATCACGAGATACTTTGACGCCGACTTTGCGGACACGGCGGATTCATCACGAGATACTTTGACGCCGACTTTGCGGACACCGCGGGTTCTGTTTTCCCGCGCAAGAAATAGTCCTCCGATGTTCGACACTTGGACCCGGCATCGCCGTTCGATGTACGCCGCGTGTCCGGCGCCGACATTTATCCTGCCCCCACGTCTGATTCCTGTGCACGTGCCAGGCCGCCGATGCTCGACACCTGGACCCTGCCTCGCCGGTCGATGCTCGCCGACATTTCGGTGCCCACCTGTTCCTCTTCAGCGCTCAATTTGACCGCTGATTTCTTCCACGTAGACTTACCCCGTGACGTCGATTGACGCCGCGTGTCACGCACCGACATTCTCACGGCCCGCGCGTTCTTTTCTGCGCGACGCTTGAGGCGTGGTCGGGTGACGCGTGGACGCCAGTGTGGACGCCGACATTCGAGGGAGGTCGGACATAATCCTGGTCGTCCGTAACCCGCCGCGTGTCGTGCATCCACGGTCGATGTGTCCTGCTGGCAACTCGCCACGCGTTGAGATATACCCTGTGGGTATTTCTCAGCCCATGGGAATGTCAACGGTCGTTCGTCGTTCCCTAGGGCTCCGTGCCCCAGTGTGCCATACAATTTCTGACGGTCGGACGGCGAGCTGAAATGGAACCCTCTCGAATCTGTGCGGCAAAAACGGGCGGGGGAATTCGTCGGCTGAGCTATATCATGCTGTCTCTCCCCCCCCCTGTACTGTTGCTGCCGCCTTCTTCAGTTCGTCGTAAGTTGTTCGTACCCCTTGAAAACTCTGTGTAGTTCCCGCGGTGTTGCCCCACGGAAATGTCGCACGCATTTAACCAAACGCCGCAACTATTCCGAAATTGTCGGCACTCCTTGCCGTAAAACCGGTAAGTCCCCACGTAACAAACTCCGAAATTGTCGCTCGAATCAAACTCCGTAAATCCGCAGGTGCAGTTGCAGTTCGCCTCCGAAAATCTCGGATGTGCTATAGCTGCCCACTCGGTCACCAGTTGTTTCCGTCGGTTCACCAATGAGAAAACTGAAACGAGAATGATTGAACTATGAATGAATTGGGTACAAGTACTAACCCTAATTGAGTTGTACCCCTTATGGGCTACCCCACTATAGCCTACACAATATGCATAAGCTACAATGTTCTGACACACCCCCATAGCCAAAGTGGGGGAGAACAAGGGGTCACAGGACCAGTCAAGCAAAGCAAAACAAAGCAAGCCCAGGGTGGATCACAAAGTCACCACACATTCCGAGCACAAGTTCAAGGCCACAAGGCCAGTTCACATGCAGGATTACATATATATATATAAGGCTAGACAAGCAAGTGCAGGAGTATATATATATATGTATATATGTAACAGTACAAGCAAGGTCAAGAGGTGAGCAAGTGAGGCAAGGTAGGCACAAGGCCCAGCTGAGTACAGAAGCGCTGATGGTCACAAGGCGCAAGTGCCTTGGTGAAGATATCAACAGTGTTGGCCTCAGAGGCCACGTACGCAAGACGCAGCTGACCACGCTGCTGCAGCTCACGAGCAAGAAAGTAGCGGAGAGCAATGTGCTTTGTTCTGTGCTCCAGTCGCTGCTCTCGACACAAGGCCAGCATGGCCTTGTTGTCTACGTACAGCACTGGAGGAGAACGAGGCGGCTCTCCAAGGTCAGTCAGCAGGTAGGTGAGCCAGCGAAGCTCCTGAGCAGCCATGGCCCCGGCGTAGATCTCAGCCTCACAAATGGAGCCGAGAACAGAAGACGAGTGGGTAGCCCGCCACGAAACAGAGCCGGAACCAAGGTTGAAGGTGTAAACATGTGACGACCGCTGCGTAGCCTGGTCGTCCGCCCAAGAAGCGTCTGCGTGCCCAGTGAGGACCACTGGACTCCGCCCTCCAAGCACTAGCCCCATGCCCGACGTACTGCACAAGTAGCGCAACACCCTCTTCGCTGCAGCCATGTGCTCCGGTTTGTGTCTCCCAGGAGCAACATAGCGTGCGAGAATGCTAAGAGGGTATGCAAGGTCAGGTCGAGTGCAGGTCATCACGTACATGAGGCAGCCAACAAGCTCTGGGTACGGGCCACTCGACTCTACGGACTCATCCGAAGGCAGAGCTGAGAGCGAGTGACGAGTAGGCAGAGGAGTGGCCTGAGGCGAGGAGTACGTGAAGCCGAAGCGCTGAAGGACCTGCTGCACCATGTGTGACTTAGTCAGGGTAATGGTGTGCTGTGCTGTGTCTTGGGTGATCTGCAAGCCAAGGTAGCTGCGTAGTTCACCCAGGTCTTTGCACGTGTGTCTCTTCTGCAGCTCGGACTTCACGTGGGCGAGTCTAGCAGTGTCACCTGTGGGAAAGACCAAGTCTTCGACGTACACGAGGATGTAGAACGGCGGCAAAGAAGTGTCGGTGCGCAGAAACAGCGACGGGTCAGCAGTAGAGGGAGCAAACCCAAGAGCCGCAAGCGTAGTCCTCAGTGTGTCGTGCCACTCACGCGGTGCCTGGCGGAGACCGTAGACTGGCCACCGGAGGCTCCACTGAGTGCCAGGAGGAAAAGTCCGAGTGAAGCCAGGTGGGCGGCGCAGCCAGATCTCCTCGTGCAGGCTACCCTGCAAGAAAGCAGTGCTGAAGTCAAGAGAATGAAGCTCGTAGTCGCGCTGAGCGGCTATGTGCAGCAGCACCCGAAGAGTGGTCATCTTCGGGGTGGGAGAGAAGGTCTGAAAGTAGTCAACTCCCTGCCGCTGACTGAAACCACGAGCCACGTACCGTGCCTTGAAGAGAGGCGGGGAGCCCGGCGGCCGCTTCACCCTGAAAATCCACATGCCACTGACTATGTTCGCCCCAGGTGGGGGAACCTCGTCAACGTAGGTGCCTGTGGACTTCCAGGAAGCCATCTCTGCGTCCATAGCTGCCTGCCACTGAGAGGAGTAGGGACCCTCTATCGCCTCCGCGTAAGAGCGCGGAGTCGGGATGTCAAGTGCATCCGGGTCTCCCTCAGGGGTAAGCAGTACGGACACGAGATGAGGTGAAGCAGCAGCCAGACACTGGAACTCCTCCTCCCTGTCCTCAAGGACGTCCGTGCCAAGGGCACACTCACCCCCGACGGACGGAGGACAGACAGACTCAGACTCAGCGACAAGACTAGCAGCGTAGTCTAGACGACAGCGAGCAGCAAAGTCGACGAGCTCAGTAACTAGAGCAGACGCAGCAGTGGACTCAAAGGAAGGGTCAGTGACAATAGTAGCAAGGAGACGCGTGAAAGTAGGACTGGCAGCACGAAGAGAGTCTGACTCCGGGTCGGGAAGAGCAGGAAGAGAAGACTCAGGAGGAGAAGGCAAAGGTGCACGCAGAGGAGCAGTGGACGGACGAAGAGACATCCGGTGCGTGCTAGGGAGAGGAGGAGGACGCTGACGCGAACCACGACCACTAGTGCGAGCACCACAGACAGGCGACGTAGGGCGAGACGCAGGCTCACGACGCTCAGCAACACCTCCAGTAGGACCAGTGTAGGGAGTCATTGCAGGCGGTGGGGAGGCCGGCTGTAACTGTAACTGTGACGGGACAGGCTGCGGACACTCGAAGGGAGGAGGAGGAGGATCAGTAGAAGGCGGAAGACCAAGAACCTGCTGAAGGAGCGGAACGAAGTACGGGCGAGGCCGCGCGGCGACTCCAGACACAGCAGGGACAGCACCAGTACCCCCAGCGGCAGCACCAGTACCAGCAGCACCTCCAGCTCCAGTACCTCCAGCAGCACCAGTAGTACCCCAAGCAGGACCGCCTCCAGGACCTACAGAAGTAGCCTCCGCGCCAACCCCCGCAGCAGCTCCAACTCCAGAAGTACCCGCAGGCCCAGCAGCTCCAGTAATCCCAGTACAAGCACCTCCGGGACCCGAGGCACCAGCACCCTCAGCAGAAGCAGAAACTCCAGTACCCGCAGCACCTCCAGCTCCAGCAGCTCGCCTCCAGCGCCGAGCAAACCACTCACGCAGCTCCTGTGGAGAGAGTGGCTCTCGGCGAGACAAAGTACCCGGAGAACCGCCAGGCACAGCACCAGCAGGCTCAGCTCCCTCAAGCTCCGCACCTCCAAGCGTAGCACCCCCAGGCTCAGCACCCCGAGACTCAGTACCCCCAGGCTCAGCACCCCTAGTCGTAGTACCCTTAGGCTCAGCACCCCAAGGCGTAGCACCCCTAGACTCAGCACCCCCAGGCTCAGCACCCCCAGTAGTAGCACCCTCAGGCTCAGCACCCCCAGGCGTAGCACCCACACGCCTAGCACCCCCAGAGTCAGCACCCCCAGGCTCAGCACCCTCAGCAGCACCAGAGTCACCAGTAACCTCGACAGGCTCAACTGCGTCTACCTGGGACACACCTGAAGGGGCAGGACCCTGAGGGGGGAGGGGGTCTATCGGGGGGGGACCTGGCACAAGGAAGAGCGGTGGCGGGGGGAGGGACGGAGTGCGGTAGGGGAAGAGGCAGTAGTAGAGGACCGACTCGTCAAACGTGACGTCCTGGGAGGACAGAACACGGCGAGAGGTGGGGTGGTAGAACTGCCACCCGGGCGCGTCAGGGGGGAAACCCAGGAAGACGCAAGGAGCAGCACGAGGGGACAGCTTGTCCGCATACAAGTCGCGGACAAACGCCCGAGATCCCCAGACACGGAACGCAGACGCATCGCCAACCTTCCCCGTCCACAGCAAAGTTGGGGAGGTCTCCGGCATGGAGACACTGGGCTGAAGGTTAATCTGATGCGCCGCGTACTGGACCGCAAACGGCCACAGAAAATGGGGGGCAGCCGCATGCATCATGGACGTACGAGCGACGTCCATGACCATGCCAATGCGGCGCTCAGCAATCCCCTTTTGCTGTGGAGATTCCGGAAGCGTGAAGGTCTGGCGGATGCCTCGTGCACGACAGTAGGCTCGCAGAAGGCCAGAGGAGAACTCTCCGCCTCTGTCAGAGTGCAGACGCAGAACAGGAAAGTTCGAGCTGAAGCTCCGCCTGAGCTGGAGACAAGCTGCGCGGATCCAGTCGATCAACACCTCAGTGACATCACCCTTGCTGCGCAAGGGGAAGACTGTGGTGTAACGCGAGTAGTCGTCAACCACCAGCAGGAAGTAGCGCTTGTGACCCTGTCCACGGACGCGGGCTGGGCCCCACACGTCCATGTGAAGCGTCTGCAGCGGGGCCTCTGTCGGAGGAAACTGGGAGGAGTGAGGGGCAGCCCGCAGCCGTCCCTCGACACAGGGGACGCAGGTAGGGCCAGGCCCAGGAGGAACGGGAGGGAGGGACCGGGGAAGACCAGAGACAAGGACACGGGAGGCCATGCTTTGGAGACGAAGCAGGGAGGGGTGACCAAGGCGGTGGTGCCAGCGGAGAGTCTCGTGAGACAGGAGGCGACACGAGCAGGGGGCAGACTCAGGACCAGACCTGGACGCTGCAGCTAACACCTGACCCGACGCAGCTACCTGACCAGACGCAGTGACTGGAGGAGACTCAGTGGTCAGTGTGTACAGGCTCGACCACGGCCGACGTGTAAACGTGGCCAGGTGTCGGCCTGTCCGAGCGTCCGTGCAGTGGGTCACCCGCTGGCTCGCAAGAGTGAACTGGTGAACCCCCGCATCCTGTAGGTCAGCACCACTCACCAAGTTCGTAGAGAACGAGGGGAGGTAAAGACCAGACAGGGTGCCAGAGGGGGCCGCCGAACACGGGAGGACAGTGGAGAAGTGAGCAAGGACAGGACCCCCAGAGGGGTCTGCCAGGGAGACTGCAACTGGCCGACTAAGCGGCGTGAGTGTGGTGCGGTCTTGAAAGAAGGAGCGAGAAGCCCCCGAGTCAAGTGTGAAGGTGTGGGAGGCCGAAGCCGACGCAGTACCTGAGAGTGCAGACTCACCAGTACCGGAGGAAGCAGACGCACTAGCACCTAGAGCAGCAGCCTCGCTAGCACCAAGAGCAGCAGCCTCACCAGTACCTAGAGCAGCAGTCGCAATGCCCGGGTCGGGCGGGAAACACTGGTAACAGTCACCCTCCTCACTAATAGACACAGTATACATAGCAGCAAGAATAGCATCTAAGTCAAGGTCAAAGATAGCTACCCCTGCCCTAGACAGCTCGCCCCAGCGAGGGATCTCAGTGGCCTCAGGGAACTGGTGACGCCAAGCGTCCGTCAGGCGGCCAAAGCAGCGCTGGGTGGGGTGCGCACCCCCACACTCTTCACCCGCACGGTCGCCGGTGCGCAGGACGTAGGTGCACGGACCAGTACCCCCACCCCGCTGGCGTGCAGCGTACCACTCACGGAGCTGCTGAGGGGACAGGGTCTCCCGAATGCGCTGCTGCTGCTGGCGCTGACCACCACCGGAGCCACTCCTCTGCGAAGAGCCACGACCTCCTCCTCCTCCTCCTCCTCCGCCACCGCCTCCTCCACCTCCGCCACCTCCACCACCTCCGCTCCCACCGCCACCGCCGCCGCCGCCTCCGCCTCCACTGCCGCCGCCGACACCTCCACCCCCGCCACCACTCCCACCACCACCCCCACCCCCTCCACTGCCTCCACCGCCGCCTCCACCGCCCCCTCTAGCTCCTCCAGCGCCCCTGCCCCCCTTGCCCTTGCTAGAGCGACGCTTCCCACTAGGGGTAGACGCCGCACCGACCGACTCCATACCAACGAGGTCGGCCGCAGCAGCAGAGGCAACAGAGGGCAAAAGAGGGGAGGGGGAACACCCCTCAAAGATGGGGGTGCGAGGGTCACCCCGAGAGGCTCCTACAGCGACTATGCTCTTTTCCACTGCTAGGAGGGCCTTCTCGAGGAGGTCAAAGGTGAGAGTGGTGGGGCAAACTGAGAGGAAGTGGTCCCTGACTACGCGAAGGGAGTTAGGGAGACGGGTGACTATGTAGTAGAGGGTGATGTACATGGGGGGGGGGGGGTTCTTGGCGCAGAACTCAGCAGGAAGCGCAGCGCGGTAGCGAGTGTCACTAGTGCGAAGGTGCGTAATGAGGTCAGCGACCGTGGGAAAGGCAGCTAGGTCAGGGAAGAGGTACGGTAGCATGAGGCGGCTCAGTGCAGCAGTGGTAGGGGAGGAGTAGCGTGCAACTACAGTGTCGTACAACCATTCGCATGGTCGTGGAAATTGTTTTTTAGGTTTGATGCCTCCTGATTCGCATTCCTTTCCGATTGGGTTTTATTTGTTTTTTGTCAAGTGGGTTGCAATATGTTTTCCAAAATATTGGGCGGCTTTCGGTATTTAGGGTTGACTGACAATTTCCACGACCCATGGTTGACTGACTGACCCATGGCTGACTGCCACAGGTGCCGCCTGTTGAGCCTGGGAGATCGGCGTCGTCGGCTCCTCTTGTGGCAGTGGAGCGCCCTGAGCGCTCGCTGATGGATTTCCTCGGCGCTCTGGGCCGCGACTGCACTGCGGAGAGCGATCCCGCTCCCCGTCCGCGTCCTCCTGCACGCCCTGCCGCGAGCGTACCTGTTGCTCCACCGGCGTCCGCTGATCAGATCCGCCGCCGCTTCGAGGACCAGCAGCGCGAGCTGGTTCGGCGCGCGGGCAGGTCCTTGTCACCGCCGGAGCCCCTGCGCGCGGGGTCCGTCTTGCGTTCCGGCGCAGAGGCTGTGGTGCACCAGGAGCGTTCGCCTCGCCGTCGCTCATCGGTAGCTCGCGACGATAAGCGGGAGAGCCGCCGCGATGATCGTCACGGTGCGGCCCGTTCGCCGCTGTCTCATCGTTCGCCTTGTCGCGTGGCGTCGCGAAGCCGATCCCGTGATCGCCGTTCGCATCATCATCGTTCGCCCCCTCCTCGTTCATCTCGCCAGCGGTCGCCTGCCCGCCAGACGTCTGGGCGTCGGCCCCTAGCTCCGCGTTCGCCCCTCCTGCAAAGCACCAGCGGCTCTACTCCCCACGTCGCGGGGACCGTTTTCCTGGCCGCCAGCGTCAGCAGGGCCCATCTCGCCCGCATTCGCCTGTGCGCTCGAGCGCAAGTGGGCGTGCGCGTCGTGGGCGACGGGGGGGTGACAGTCGCGGCGGAAAAGCGGGTCAAGCGCCGTCCGCAATGGAGCGCCGTCTTCTGGGTAGGCTTGATGACGTGGAGAAGGAGCTTTGTCGCTCGCGTGCTGGGTCGGCGTCACCATCAGCTCCTCGCGCTGCTCCCGTCGTCCCTCTCTCCGCGCTCCTGCCCCACAATCCCTTTGGATCCCCGGCGCGTTCGGAGCGGCCGCTGCCTGCGGGGACGGGCTTCGTAGGTGCTGGTGGCGGGCCGCCATGGGCTCAGTTTGCTCTGCCGCGTCCTCTTCCTGCTCCGTGTGATCTCGCCGTGTCGTCTCACCATGCCCGCACGTATGCGTTGCTTCCGCCGATGAAGGAAGTTCCCACGGCGACCCTGGCCCGCCTATGGTCGCTGGAAGCGTCCCTGCAGGGCCTTGAGCGGATTCTCCAGGAGTCATTTGACTCCATGCCGGTGAGCCCTCCGAGCAGGTTCTCTCAGAAACCGCGAGCAGATTGTCATGTGGCGGCGTCAGCGTTATTCGCGCTCGTAATGCCACTGCAGGTAGCGCCCTCGCCGGGAGCAACCTCGGCCAGCCAGCTGGCTGACTCGGCCCTGGCTCTGAGGACGCTTGTAGCAGGCCCTGGTACTCCTGTTGACGTTGTAGGCGCCACCGTGTCTGTGGTCCGCCAGTTGTGGTTGAACACGAGCGGAATGCTCGCTGCGGTAGAGGCGGACCGCATGTAGGCGCTCCCCCCTTGCGCGTATAGACCCGTTCCATCCTCGCTAAGTGTCTATGCTTGCTTTGTTTGTATTGGTTGCCTAAGCTACTATTGCTTGTTGTTTCCCCTTGCCATCCCTAACGCGCGGCCGAAGGCCGCCGGCGCGAAGCGCCAAAATTTTCAGCACTAACTGAAAGAATGAGAGATGGAGAGGCCGCCGTGGCCTTAAGTAGTCATGGCAGAGGGCAGAAAGCAGAGGGCAGAGGGTAGAAAGGGAGAGGCTAATCCTCTCTCTCTCTCTCTCTCTCTCGCTCTCTCGAGCGAAAAAAATTTCAGCACTAACTGAAAGAATGAGAGATGGAGAGGCCGCCGTGGCCTTAAGTAGTCATGGCAGAGGGCAGAAAGCAGAGGGCAGAGGGTAGAAGGGGAGAGGCTAATCCTCTCTCTCTCTCTCTCTCTCTCTCTCTCTCTCTCTCTCTCTCTCTCTCTCTCTCTCTCTCTCTCTCTCTCTCGCTCTCTCGAGCGAAAAACATTTCGGCACTAACGGAAAGAATGAGAGATGGAGAGGCTGCCGTGGCCTTAAGTAGTCATGGCAGAGGGCAGAAAGCAGAGGGCAGAGGGTAGAAGGGGAGAGGCTAATCCTCTCTCTCTCTCTCTCTCTCTCTCTCTCTCTCTCTCTCTCTCTCTCTCTCTCTCTCTCTCTCTCTCTCTCTCTAATGGTCCTTGTATTGATATAGCAGCAAGGTACAAGCATGCAGTGTAAGGATGTAACAAACAAATAAACAAAGCACCAATCATACCCACTTTTCCCCTAGAGCTCCAGAAAGGGCTCTACCACAGCAAAACAGTCCCCTAGGTGTAACTCTTGACCAATACCCCCTACAGGCGGGTTCTCTGCTGCTGATGCCTCGCCCAACTTGAGTAGAAGACCCACTGATTGGGCCCTTTGGAGGGCCACTGACCATCGCTGCCGAAACTGGTGCAGGAGCTTGGCGGCATAAAAGGATTTGGAGTCGGCGTTAAAGTGGCGCCGAGCCGCCGTGTCTGCGAGGAGCTTCAGGAAGGTTGGTACTTCCGCGCATGGGCAACCATAGGTGTCGACTGCCAATGGGAAGAAGCCAACCGTCTCTGGCCGGTTGGCGTAATGCTGGATTTTCTTATCGGCTTGTTCCCGTGCCGCCCATCCCCTGCCTTTCTGCGCCTCTGGGTCTCTCGTGCTGATGGGGTCCGTGATGGTGACATCACAGACATAAACCGCCCCACTGCTTCTATCCGTCATTGTAAAGTCGGCGGTTTGGTCCTCGATAGGGCAATGGGCGGCCGACTCGCCGTGAACAATGAAACCTGCGTGCTGCGCCATGCTAATGCACGCATCCCGTAGCTCGTTGTGGGTGTTGATGCGGTGTTTGCCCAAATCGCAGCGGAGGAGATGGTTCGGTAGGCGGGGATCGGTGATGGCGGTCTTGTCCGCACAGTCGCAGTTCTTAGGGGTTGAAAAGGGGAGGGCCAGGCGGAATCGAACGGCGTTGGCGAAGTGTACGGGGCCTATCCGTTTGGTGGGCTCAATGGGGATCGCGGTCAGCCAATCGCCGGTGCCATACCCGGTCAGCGAAAACATACGCTGCGTGTGGCCTGACAGTGGGTTCAACCGCATGCGCCTGGTTGCCTGGACCTGTACCGCATATTTGCTTCCGTGTACCTTTAGCCCGAGCACATGTTGCAGCCTAATATCTGATCGCTCCAGCCGCTCCTTCTCCAGGATCTCGCGCGCGTCTAGTGGCAGACCTGCTTCGCACTCCTTGAGCCAGGAATGCATCGGCGTGCTGTCATCTCTTGGCAGTAGCATGTGGTTCTGAGCGATCGTCAAGGCATTCTCCGGTGCTAGCGCCAGGGAGGACAAGAACAACGCCGCTTGGGTGAAACTTGCTGTAAAACCGTAGATTCCTTCAACGAGCGGGTCTGTAATGCCGATGCCTCCTAGCGATGTGGGCAGCGACGCCTGCTCCCACACACGTGCTTGCTCAGTGCGGCAAGTTGGCATGCGGATGTCGCAGGACGTGAGTAAGGTAGTGAGCAGGTCCCGACCCCACTGGCTCCAGGTGTCGCGGGGGAGTAGGTGAAGCGGTGTTGTTCTAATGAGGTAGGCTACTCGTCTAGAAATGCATCGCGTGAGTAGAAGCGCGACTACTTGGGGGTCAGCTCGTTCTATTAGTGGCAGCGGCTTTGTCATTTCGGCTAACTGTTCGGTTAGGAACTTGGCTGCTCCGGCGTCTGTCCCCACGTAGCTACCAAGGAGTCGTACCCCGTCCGTTGAAATCGGCACCCCGGGTGGGAGTTGCGCTTGTGTGACTGTCGTCGAGCTCCAGGCCGCACATTTCTGCGGATTATGCGTCAGGCCCAGGCGTGCCAGCTTGGCTGTGAAGTCTGTGAATGCTGCTACAGTGCACGACGTGTCACCCAGGAAGGTGACATTGTCCGCATATGCCAAGCAGAGCACGTTGGGGTGTGCCACTGTAATCTCGCGGAGCGTGGGGTGTATTCCCGCTGCAAACAGTGACGGGCCTAGTGGATCACCCTGCCGAACGCCCCGTTCACTTTGCAGTGGTTCGCTGTTGAAATCAGAGTCGAGGAACAGTTGCGACGGGTTACCGTACGTCAGTTTTACAAATGGCTGTAGTGGCGAGAGTCTGGGCTCCTGTAACGCAGTGGCGATGGCATGTCCCGAAATGCTGTTGAATGCGTTCGATATATCGGCTTGCAGGACTAGGCTGTTGGGACGGGCATCCAAGAAAGCCCTGGCTGCGTGTATTACTGCCTCAGCTCCATCTGGCACTGCCACGCCGTACTGAATTGGCAGGAAATGTTCGCGTGCAGCTTCTCCCGTGGCTATCAGGGCTGCCTTGGCCGTCAGCCTTGTCAAGCATTTGCCTATCGCAATTGGCCGGGCTCCTCCCCCAGGCTTGGCCAGAGCTATGAGCCGTGACGCGGTCAGGATTTTTGCGACCGGGCCTGGCAAATTCCCTCCGAGAATGGTATTGACCAAGGCGTGCAGATGGGTGCTAACCATTCCGTTGGTGATCGCCGCGTCACGTAGGTGCTCAAATGTCGTACCCGAAGGTCCGGCCCCTACCCCGTTCTCGCACCTTCCAAGAAGCTTGGAGAACTCAGCATGAGTGATGGAAAGTTTTGACTCTGGTGGCTCACGCCAGGTCACTGCTTCGGGTACTGCTGGCGGGTGCTTCTGTCGCAGCTCTTCTAATATTTCCTGGCTCGGGGTGCAGACGGGTGTTGACTCCAGGGCCAGCACGGCCCTGCGTAGGCTGCCACGTTTCGCCAGGCCCTCGGCTTGGCTGATGACTCCGGTCGTGTCAGGCTGGTGTTGTGGCGGTGGGGGTGTGTTGACCGCGTCGACTGCGTTATGGTATAGCTGCCCCCATTCGCCGCGCTGAAAGGCTCGGAGCTGGGCTTTGACCCACGGCCAGTTCGGTCGTTGTGGCGAGGTCTGGCGAAGTGTTAGGCGCGGGAGGAACAGCAACAGGCGCCAACCCTCCTCGGATTCAGGGTTTCGCGATAGGTGGAGTAACGGTATCAGAAGCGCTAGCGAGAACAGTTGGCACAGATTAGGCGGTAAACGACGTGCCAGCAAAGGCTGGCGACTGTCGCAGAGTGCCGCGATGTCCCAGCTCGAGATTGTTGCGAACAGGTTTGCTCTCTTCGCCAGTTCGTCAGGGGAAAAATAGCGGGGTGTCGGAGTGGTTTGGCGCGTCGCGACATTGGGAGTAGCGGTCTGATTTCGTCGAGCGCGACCCGTCCGCCCTGGCAGGATTGGGGTTGGAATTTCACCCGTTCGATTGGCATCGGACAGTCGCTGAGCCGCCTGTGCTGCTTGCGTGGCCAAGAGCCCTACCCGCGCTACTCCTCTTCCCGCTGCCTCCCGTGTACTGCCTTCGTCCTCGGTCCCCTCGTCTTCGCTTGGAGGGAGGGATTCTTCCCTATAAGGTGGGTCCCTTATCTCGTCATCCTCATAATCCTCATTAGTTGCCTCCAGAGCCCTTAAAGCCCTACGCCCCGCCGCTTGGTACCCGTTTTCCGGACCTCCGCCTGCCCCGCTCGTAACCTGCCTCCTGGCCCCGCTGCCTCCCCAATCTCCAGATGGTGATTGCCGGTGCATCTGAGCCATCGCCAGTGCGCGCTGCCGCCTGGTCGGCTGTGGTCGCCCTGCCTCAGTCGGGGCCCGGAAAGGCGACCATGCCGACGGAGCCCCCTGAACCGCCGGCTCCGACGCCCTCGACAACAGTCGCTGAAAAGACTCTTCCCCACGCACCCGCGGATCCCCTTGCCGTGTTGGGAGCTGGCCCGTCTGTTCCTGCGGCTGCTCTTGGACCTGGGGCGCCCGTTGCTCCGCCTGCTTCCGTCCCCGACGCGCCGGCACCGGCTTCTGTTTTGTCGACGAATGCGGCGTCCGCCACCACTGGCGGCCCGGCTCCGTCGGTTGCGCCTTTAGCGGCGGCGCAATCCGCGCCTGTTGCGGCGACAGTGGACCCGGCTGGTCAGCCGGTGCGCCCCCCGTCGCCTGATCGCCGATCGTCTCGCCCTCATTCCCCCTCGCCTCACCAGGATCGCAAGTCGTCTCGTCGTCGTCGTGATTCTCCTCGGCGACACCAGCAGCAGCGTGACTGGCCTGCTCGCCCCGGTGGTCAGGGGGACTGTAGGGGTCCCCGCGGGCGCGGTGGGGGGTACCGCCCGCCGGTGACGATGGCCGATCTTCAGCGGGAAGTCTCCCGGGCTGTTCGCGAGGAGAGGGCGGCGCAGAGCCAGAGCAGATCGCCGCGGGCTGCGCCGGCGCGCGTGGCTCCTCGTCCGCCTGTGCCTCCTGTGGTCCCTCCGCCGACCGCTCTATTTCCTTCCCCTGTCCTCGTCCCGTCTGCTCCCTCTCCCTCTGTAGCGGCGCCAGCTCCCGGCTCTCGTCTGCATCTGTCGATGGTTCCGCCTGTTGCGGGGGTGGAGTTTGTGGCCGCGGGTGGT